TTCCGCAAGCCTCACGGCTAATACTTTCCGAGATATAGCCGAGAGCTATTCTTAGTGGGATACCCTGTACAATAACTTTATTATAAGCAAAGAATATAACAGTAAATCAACGCACTAGAATATTTTTATTACAAACAAAAAACCTCAACACTGCACTTTAACCCTCTTTCTTTTTCCAATAGTTTATAAGTTTTCCATATATTTGTAGCACCCTGTATCTGTTTTTGATTTTAGCGTCATTTTGTATTTATCCAATTAATAATTAAATATTAATAAATTTATAAAAAAATAAAGATAATTTGACTCTAAAAATTTTAAATTAATTTATTGGAATTGAAAAGGTTTTTGATTTTAGTATAGCATGTATTAGTAATATATTAAATGGAAATTTTTAGAGGGGGGCAAGCTGGGGCAAGATGTTAAATTAGTTTCGTTATTAGAAAGGCTTAATCTACCTTGTGATATATATAAAGTCTTGGCCAACTTTGGCCATTTTTTTATTTTTCTACATACACATTTTTTTGCTACTAAATATAGTATTTAGCAGCAAAAAAATGTTTATGTGTCTCTTATATACAATTGTTCTCCCAAACTTTTGTGACTATATATATCTTTTATTTTAAAGTGAAAACAATCGTTTGCACTAATATGTATAGTTAAAAAAAATTATTAATGTCTTTGCCAGTTTTTATAAAACTAGGTTGTTTCACAAGAAATGAATACCATAATTAAGTCAGTGTAATATCTTCATTTGAAACTTTTCAAACAGACATATAATTAAAAATATTTTTTTGAGTTGGATAAAATATAACGGTCTGGACTTTAAGTAATTCAAATCTTCTACCAAAATTATTTAATTTAAAATTTTATTTTTAAGTCAATGTCCAACATTTTATATTGGGTCTTTCCACCGTGCGGCGGCCGCCTAACCTAACCTTTGAAGTACATAATGATAATTTCTGACTTCTGCCGTTAAAGCGCTGCTGTCAATTGAAATCAACTGAAATGTACCAAGTCTATAACGCTAATAATAATTATTATTACACCTATTAGGTAATCCTAAAGATAAAACACCTCCACTGTAAAGATGGTGATATATAAAATAACTGTTTATTTTGCTCTTATTGTTAAGCAAGTGTAGTATTTGTTTTGGCTCAAGTTTCGTTTAGCCGAAATCATTTACTTAGAATATCGTTTTATAGGATGATTCTCTACAAGAAAACTAGCACTACGTAATTTGATTTTTGCCGCGGAAATTCTTTGTTTTTGAGAAAACTCGAATTTTTAATTTTTCTTTTATTAAGAAAAATTTAAAACTTACGGTTTTTTTTAATACTTTTTTCATTATAGAATGACGTAAAAACATTTAATATAACGATGTGAACTAATTTTTATTCGAAAATATATTTTTATCACAATAATTTTCATTGATTTTTCCGAGTTTCGAAGTGCCTAAATGTGATAGAAAGATAAAAACTACATATTTTTGTTTGATTAATAATTTTCTATAACTTTTCTATATAACTTTTTAATTTATCATATAGGCGGTGTTATGGAAAATCTTCAATATTTTGAAGTTTTCCATAGTATTCTCAACTTTTTTACATAAAGTTGGATCAATGGATCTTTGCGTGCACGTCATAATCTGATGTCACCTAACGTCATACGAATCAATCAGTCGTCAAACTACCACCAGTGCCAGCGGCATTTTATTTCATACTTAAAAGAAATAATATAATTTCTTTTCCAAAATATTTGTAAAGTTTTTGGACGTTTTTAAATTAGAATAAATAATTGTTTATGGAAAAAGGTCATAAAAAGGGGAAAATACAGAACAATAGTATGCCTATACAGTATAATTCAATAGGATAGTTGTTACAAGAGGACAATAATTGGTGATCGAAATATTGAGTTGTTAACTAATATATTGAAATCAAGTTCTATACAGTATTAGATATCTAACTTTACAAGATTTTACCCAAATTACTATTATAGAAAGTAGGTTAAAACAAAAAGTCTAAATATTTTGTTAAATAATACCTCCAACAGATAATAAATTTAATGAAAATGAAAAATAATTTATTAATTTTACAAGTAACTTGGATCAGTACAATTATTTGTTTAAAAATAGCATGGATAGTATTTAAATTAAAAAATTTGAAAAATGTACGTAGTCCACTTTAGTTCTCCCCACTCTCACTATCTTCTGAACTTTCCTCATCACTGACATTGATAAACATTTGGGGTACTTCTTCAATAATGACTTCCCTATCATACCAGTCTTCGATTAATTTTTCAGTGTGAACCACCTTAGCATGCCATATTTCTGGTGTACATTTCTCTAATGCTTTTCTCCACATATCTAGCACATTTTCATCTTTATGTCCATTTTCACCAATGTGGGCATTGTAAAAATATTTTGAATCTGCCCATATCATTTCAATTGCATTAAACTGGCAATGGTAAGGTGGTAATCTTAATACTTCATGACCATTTTCTTGTAATAATTTATCTATTTTATATTGTTTTGTTTTTTTGTGAATTTTTGCTATGCTTAATAGTTCAGGTTTAAACATTTTTTTATCATAAGGTATATTACTTTTCTCCAACCACTCAACAATTTCATATTTCTTCCATGAGGATGATGGCTGTCTCTCTAACTCAACAGAATGGTATGGAGCATTATCCATTACAATAAGGGAAGGTTCTTCTAAATTTGGGATGAGCTGGTTTTCTACCCACTTTGTAAACATTTCTGCATTCATTTCCCCATGATAATCCATTTTCTTAGATTTTGAAGCAAAAATTAAACCAGCATTTTTAACAAACCCTCCACAGTGTCCGGCATGCAATACAATGAAACGTTTGCCATCAAAACCACCTGGCTTACGAACACTCTTAACACTATCATCCTGCCATGATCTCATTTTACTGCCTTTGGAAAAGATCCACGTTTCATCTAAAAATACGAGTTGACGAGGAAATTGCGAATTTTTGTTTTCCATGTATTTTCTGAAAAAGGCTGCTCTCATAGAAGCTATATTGGATGTCTCCATTAATGCTCGTCTGTTATCATCCTTTTTGTATTTAAATCCCAAACTAAAAAGGAGTGTTCGAAGACTTCCATAACTTATGTCAACAATTTCTCTGCGACGCAACTCCTCGTTTAGTTTATTAATTGTAACTTGTTTCTCTGAAAATATAAATTTAGTAAAATAGTTCAGTAAAATAATATTGGTACTTACTTTGTGCATACAAGTCATACAGAATATTGCGAACCTCCATCTTCAAACCTTCATTCAAGTCTTGAGTTTTACATTTTTTTCGAGGTCTGTTCTTTCCCGGTGTTGAGGGTAGCTCATTTCGATCTTTAGACATTTTAATGCTTGAAACCGTTCTTAGACTGATCTTCAAGGCATCAGCAACTCTCTGTAAATTTATTAGTTAGGCACTTGTATTTTTATAAATCAAAATATATATTTACCTCTTGAACAGCATTCAGGGAAATTAGTGGCCCCTTATTCTCTTTTTCAGACGTAAAATAAGAGATAAGATTTCCAACAAGGATACGTGCTTGAGAATTTAAACGTTTTCCTGGCATTTCAATGTTAATGTTAAATTATATTAACGAATCACGAAAAATAAATTTTGGAAAGAACTGTTGTTAAATCACAAAAAGTTTTCACAAAAGCTAGTCGCAATAAACGATGTCCAAAGAAAATAAAGATACAAAACAACTTTCCCTAACTTTTTGACAAAATGACAAAATCATAAACATAAACACCGAATGACAAAAATGTCATGCATGGATGCTGCCAGGGTTTTACAGATGTACGCACGTCTCCACAAAATGTACTAAATTGTAGTACAAGTTACTTTTTTTAGGAAATTATAAAGGAAAAGCTGTCTTTTTTTTTAATAGGATGTAGTTCTTGGATCCCTTATAAAATAAAAACAAGAAATTATAATGCAAATGAAGTTAGTATGAAGTGAACACCAGTGTACCTTTATTAAAAAAATATACTAAATTTAGTACATTTCTTTTAAAACGAGAACCCGAAAATAAATAATCGATTTATTTTTGCGTTCGCCGGCATTGACTTTAAATGTTTAGAAAAGAAACTTGAGTGATCCTTGGCTAGGGGTTTTCCTTGTCTTACACATTCATTGATTTTTCCGAGTTTCGAAGTGCCTAAATGTGATAGAAAGATAAAAACTACATATTTTTGTTTGATTAATAATTTTCTATAACTTTTCTATATAACTTTTTAATTTATCATATAGGCGGTGTTATGGAAAATCTTCAATATTTTGAAGTTTTCCATAGTATTCTCAACTTTTTTACATACTTTCGGTTTGGTTTTAGTTGGTTTGGTTGTAGTGGGTTTAGTAGGTTTGTTTGTTTTTTTAAGGGTTTGGTTTGGTTTAGTTGTCGTTTTTATGCTATATTGACAATTTTTTTTAATTTTCGGTAATTATTGACCATAGTGATATTAAGTTGATAAGAATAGATATTATTTATTGATCTGTGTCAAAGGTCGGGAAGAAGATCATTGCATGGTTGTGAAACAACGCATTTTCGCGGATTTTCATTTCAATATCGGTGCTAAAAAATAAGTCAAATAAGTTAACATAAAATAATATTAATTTTTTATATATCTCATTTCGTTACTTCTAAACCGTATTCAAAAAATGGCAACAGCGCATTTCTGCGGAATTTCATTTTAGTATTAGTAGTTAAAAAGACGTCTAAAATATGAAATAACATTAATTTTTCATCATTCGTTTCTTTTAAACCGCATTCAAAAAATGGTGACACATTTTCGCGGCAAATTTTTTTCAGTAATATATTCCCTGAGGTACCTAACTATAATTTTTTTTTCTTTTTTAACAGAGTTCGATTAAATGAAACTTGACTTTTTGTTTTAAATTCCCTTTTAAGCACAAACCTGTAAACTTCAACTTAAAGAAAAGAAAGTATAAATTAATCGAAGAGGTACTTACCCGCTGTAACTGCCCGTTTTACTCTCGAACCTCACATAAAGCGAGTTTCCAGTCGAGACGAAATCGTGCTTTTCCATCGCCTTGGAAAAAGTGTCGCAAAACGTTTTGATAATTCTCGAATCGTCCGGCCAGGAAGCGTCGTACAGTGTCAAGGATTCGCCGCAGTCGCCGTCTGTCGGTTGAATCGGGGACTCTATCCTGTTTATTCTAAAGCTGTAAAGAAAAGAAAAATATAGTATTATTTCCTTGATTTTTACTTTGCTTGGGAATTACAATATACCATATGACTGACGTCGATTATACAAAGTGACGTCGCAGTAACCTTCAAAAAGACGGACGGGGTGCAAACGCACCCCAGACGTAATTTTTTGTGATATTTTCTGACTTATTAATAATAAGCATAAACTTCCATAAACATACTTCTAATTCAGTATATACAGGGTGGTCCGAACAGTATTCCGGAAACTTCGGCAGCATATTCTGCAGATAAAAAGAAGTAAAAAAAATCGTATAAATGTATGTCCCAAAATGCTTAGTTTCGGAGATACTGGGTGTTAAAGTTTCATTTTTATTTAAACTTTTTTCCAAATAATTTCTGAGGTAACATTTGATTTTGATGTCATTATGACTCTTATTTGTAGGGGGCGCCACTTACATGTGTTTGAACTGTTTAGAACAGTAATCATTTTTTGTCCGTACCTGTATAAAACCACTGAATGAAAAAATATAAATTTCTGTGATTTTTTAAGTAAAAATTATGTCTTGGTAAAAATCGCTACGAGCAACCGTTCTGAAGATATTTAGAATTAAAATAGTCAATACATGTCATTATTGACTAAAAATAAACATGTTGAGTAGATAGTTATTTGACTGAAATGATAAATTTAGAAACTTTTTATTTTTCTTCGAAAAAATGATGATAAAACAGTTTCTGTTGAACGTTTGGTACAATAACATTTCAAATTCATGATATCAGTCTAATAACTATTTAGTCGACATGTTTAATTTATGTCAATGATGACAGGTATTGGTAATTTTGATTCTAAATATCGCGAAAACCATTAAGCTTGATTTTCGTGCGTCATTTATCCTTTGATACGATGGTCCGACGTCGCTCTTATTGGTCATAACGTTTTCGCCGGCACTTTTCATCCGTAAATTTTTTACTCCAGTTCGTTAACGGAGAAAGATCGTACGATAACGGACGTTTTGACACTTTTTTGACAAATTTAATCTAACCTTATTATAAATATAATAGTACAAGAGCAAGCACCGACCGTCGGGAAAACGAGAATTTTAAGAAAGCTTGTTCTTTAATATATCTTTTGCTATCCTTTTCTGTGCTCTCCTTACCAAAGTGCGGGCCGCCTGGTTGTCGCGTCGGTAGACTAATGTGTATCACATCTGTACAAGGTGTCCCATTTTAGTGTGTTTTATGGGATTTCTCGTTTATGAATAGAGATACAATGATGCGATTTTCACATTACTTTGCTATTTTTTATGAAAATAAATATGCTACACATAGGTTCGTCCTAGCATCCTTAGTTCCTGAAATGCAGGGCGAATTTGTGATGCGCAGTAGTGAACATATGTTGAATACAGATATGATGCGCAGTAGTGAAAGCAACGTCTACCGGCAGCTAGACGGTCCGCACTCTGTTCAGGAGAGCATAGCAAAAGATATATTAAAGAACCTGCTTTCTTAAAATTATCTTTCGAAAACATTGCTAGCTCTTAGTCTATAAGTAAAACAGCAAAATCGTTATGGAAATGAAAACATAAAATGGCACCAATTACAAGCAAATTGTATGTCCGATAAACGGAGACATGAAAATGCAATAAATTTATAAACTGCGTAATTTTCTAACCAATCGAAGTCTTTAAATTCAACCAATAAAATAAATATCGTATCATCGTATCGTCCGACAACGGATGCATGAAAATCAAGCTTTACTCGTAGCGATTCTTACTAAGAGATTTTTTACGTAAAAAATGTGGTAAATTTTTATTTTTTTACTAGGTAGTTTTATACAGGTACAGACGAAAAGTTATTACTCTTCAATCCAGTTAAAAATATGTAGGTGGCGCCCTCTACAAATAGGTATTGTAGGTCATATTGACATAAAAATCAAATTTCTCATGTCAAAAAACTCCTAGACACCAATTTTCATCCAAATATTGACAGTGAAAAAGAAATATAATAATATCATCATTAAATGTACCGTATGATCGAAAAAAACAGCGTCCAGTTGGCTTGGAAATAATGACCGATGACATTTCCTATAAAATTTTACATATAAAATGACAGCGATCTTAATTTCATAGCCGCCGTTTTTTTGACGTCGTTTTTATTCGAACATACGGTATTTATTTCGAGAATAATCTATTTAATAACATTTTGCCGAACTTTTCAGCCATAACTAAGCGTCTCGAACGATCAAAGACGCACGAGACAAACCTCAAAGGAACCGTTCCAGTATGTCTTGGCTGAAACGGATATTAATTAATTAACTAATTAATTTTAATAAGTCTAGTCGTTAACGTTATGTAAAGGAACTGAAATAATTTATTACATTATCTCCGTATTTCGGAATTTTAACATACTTTTGTAATAAAAAAAAATAGCTTTATAGTATGTTAACATTCAATCTTTAAATCAGTATTTGGCGTAATAATACAGTCTGGGGTGGGTCAAAAAGTCGACTATTTTTTCACTTTATACTCTGAAAAAAAAGATTGGTAGACACCTCAAAAACATTCTCTCCGAGTATGAGTTCTTAATTTTAAAAGAAATGTCCTCAGCTTTTCAGTTTTCTATTTTTTCCTTATATCTCGTCTCATATATTTGTAGGAATTTGAATTCTCTACAAAAAATATCTCTTACAATTTTTTGTAAACTTCTCTGTTCGATAGTTATTAAAGGTTGTAGTTTGATTATTTTGAGGCAGATTTCTTTCTTCTTATGAATTTTATAACTCGTTAACAAAAAATCATTATGATACGCGCCACAGAATTTAACTGCTCTACAAAGATGGTTTCTAACGATTTATCGATTAAATTAACCGTTTAAAAGAAAGAAAAGATTTTTTTCTTCTTCTAGATCAATACTTTTTATATTAAATTTGTCACAAAAACGTTATTTACTCGAAATTTAATGAATCATTGACTTAAGTTAGAAGAAAATGCAATAATGATTTGTTTCAATGTACCCAATATGCTTAGGACTAAAAAAATAGGAAACAAGTTTAAAACATGTCTTTGTTCATAAAAACTCAAATTTGAATTTTTTTTTTCCGAAACTCATAAAATAAATTGGAATTGTTTGAATTATTACTCAAAAATTGTTAAAATTATTGTGCATTGAAGTTTGACGATGAATATCTTTTAGTTTTTGGTTTGGTTTGGCTGGTCTAGAGAGAGAGAGAGAGAGAGACCAACATAGCCTTGTTATTTTGGAAGAAAAGGGCTACCGTGTTGTCTTCATATGTTTGCCATAATTCTTTAGATCTTGCACGGAGAAAACAAGGTTGGTTTTATGAGGGTTGGGAGTTTTTGCAGCCAAGTAGTCAGCTCTGTCATTGCAAGAAATTCCTATGTGGCTCGAAAGGCAAAGGAAAGTGACGCTGTAATGGTGGATATTGGCTTTCTGTAGGAGCATTTTGATTGCTATAACTAGTGGATGGTTGGAGTGGAAAGAGGAGATACTTGAAACGGAACTCAATGAATCGGTAGCCACAACCCATCTCTTATACCTGGAGGTCAATATATGTTGAATGGCCTTAAATATTGTAAAAATCTTTGCTGAGAATATTCCCGTTATGGGACTTTGGTTGATAAAGCACTGTGAGAAACACATTGCTTTATCAAACGTATGAAAAGCCGCTCCAGTGTACCTATCAGTTTTCGAGCCATCGGTGTAAACCAGTCCATGACTCCTATACTTTGAGTTGATGAGATTTTTTGAATTGTGAGAGTGATCTTTGTGTGTGATCTTTTATAGTGAGATGTGACCATCCCTTTGAGTGATAGGTCAAGCGAGAGTGGGTGCAGACTCCATGGGGGAAACATACGGGAGAATGGCGCAATATTGAAAGGAGGAGGCAAATCGATTGTCAGTCTTTCCTTTATATCTACATAACGTTGGTATGATGCTGATTGATACTGTTTGCATCTATGTTTGATTTGGGGGTAAATAATTTTGAAGAATTTTTTGTGATTAGGGTGTTCCGGATTAACATGTATACCAAACGCATATGCTAATAGGTGTCGTTCTCTAATATAGTTTAGTGTGAGTTGTTCTGATTCGCACATTAAGCTTGGTATGGGACTCATGTGAAAAGCGCCCAGTGATTTCCTGATTCCCATGTTATGTATCGCGTTCAGCTTATTTAAATAAGATCGCGGTGCAGACGCGTAAACTTGGAACCCGTAATTGATTTTGAATAAGACACAAGCATTATACCCTCTCAAAAGAGAAACATGGTCTGACCCCTCGGTGATGCCAGATAGAATTTTAATAATGTTAACATTAGTTTGGCATTTAGGGATTAAGTTGCTGATATGGGTTTTGAAATTGAGAAGTGTGTCAAAGGTAATGCCAAGAAATCGTTGTTCGTGCTGGGAGTTTATCGATCAGAGCCAATACATAGGTTAACGGTTAGAATATCTTTTAAACGGTTAATTTAATCGATTAATCATTAGAAACCATCTTTGTAGAGCAGTTAAATTCTTACAAACCCATGAGTTGCATGTATCATAATAATTTTTTGGTAAAGAGTTATAAAATTCATAAGAAAGAAGAAATCTGCCTTAAAATAATACAATTTCAAAGTTTAATAACTTTACTTCTTAAACCCACCCCATAGCAAATATTCGTAAAAATATAATATATTCTCTTTAAAAAGATTTCATATTCTTATAGTAAGTCTTATTTTTAGTCAATGCATAAATATTAAAAAAAGAATAATCACGCACATAAAACACCCAAACCGTTAAAAACAATTTTTACCTCATAACGAAGTTTATATCAGATTTGCGTAAAAAATAAAAGTGTATCATATACTTTTATGTTATGTAAAGTAACACTTTCAAGCAAGCAGCCGTTAAAAAAATATGAATATTTACCCTTTGCACCCGAAGCAGCTTAAAGTTAACATTCGCCCAAAGCTTAACTTCTATTTACGTTGGGGCCACCATGATTTTTACATAATTTTTGCATTTCGACGAAACACGTATTTTAAGCTTCTATTTTAAACTGAGGGGAAACAACAATATTATCTTCTGACGTTACAAGGGATGAATTTAAATTACTTTTTTGTTCCTTTGTAGATATCAAAAAACCATAATTTTTAACGATCGACGGTATAACTCCAGAGGTAATAATCCAAAAGTATATCATTGTACATTGTATGGGATGGAGGAATTACCGCGAGTTTATAGATCTATTGTATTTCCATTTCTCTTCCTATCATATAGTTTCAGGGCTTTGACAAAAGCCACTATCTGAGACGGTTTTACAGAGGTTAGTCCTCACCTAACCTAACCTAACCATCTTCGAAATCAGTCGTACCAAGGTTTATGGTCACGAGTGGTTGTCGTCTCGGTGCAGTGATGAGATGTTCTGGTGTTTCTACATTTTCCCAACAGAATCTGCATTTGCTGTTGCTTCTTAGCTTCAATCTACTTAGATGTTTGATCCTGTCAAAAACCTCGTGACAATCCGAAGATTGTTCTTACTCAAATCCAAGAAAATATTTCATTTTTCTCGGTCGTAAATTCTGAGAAATTTCTTCAAATGTCTTAGATCGTTTGAAGATTCCCATTCCAGGGTACAGGAGTCTTCCAGGTTCTTGAGTTCCGCTTTATGTTTGTTTTCACTTGAAAAGCAGAACAATGTGGTATCAAATTATTCTTAAAAAAATGCTTTTTCCAAATATGGCAATGAGCCGCCTCCGTTCCATTCAAAATAAAATTGAGATATGATTAAAAATACGATTTGGGCATCTTTTAACCGGCCAGGATAAGACACTAAAACATTGGATGATCAAATCTATTTTTCCAAGGCTCCTTGATTAAAAATTAGTGTTTTAATCCCGCCATGGCACTCTAGATAGAAATTTAAAATACAATTTGTTTTTGAGCGAATAGTCATTCGATTCAGAAAGTTATTTCTCTCGAATAAAGTAAAAAAATACTGAGGGTGCCATTTAAAAATCAAAAGTTGTAGTCATTTCCGGTGAAACAGGAAGTGACCGAATACAATTGAATACGCCAATCAATCCTAATTTATGTCATATACTAACATACCAAATCTCTTTTTTTTTATCTGAATAAATAAAAAAGTTATAGGGGTGATCCACTTTTGACACACACCCGGTATACATTAATTAACTAATTTCTATTTTTACTGTGTTTAAATTGACAATACAAAATACAGTACCTTGGAAAATATAGTCGTACTATTTCCCCTTCTTCGCCTTGCATCAAGTAAGTGCAAATGGTATGTGGTGGATACCAATGAGCAACGGATAAAAATATGCCTTCGGTGTCACCGGAAGCTCGCAGACTCTCTGAAGACAGGAGCCAGTCGCACGTGCCGTTTTTGCTGCCTGCGGTGTCCACGTGGCCTGGCCAATTACCGACGTTGAAGTGGAAACCAGTGTTTAGAAGAGGACCTGAAATTTATAAAGAGACACTTACTCTGTGGTTTTAATATTTAACATATTATAATATTGAGAACAACGATATATTACCATTTCTAGTTACTAGAAATACTAATAAATGCCCGGAATTTGATGTTTATAGAAAAAATACCAATACACACAAACACAGGGTGGCGTACCTCATTCGCCTCGGTTGATTATACGAAAACGGAAAGATGGAGAAACAATTTTTTTATGGGTATATGTATTTTTTGGATACTAGAGCATAAAATATAGCATTGATTATAAGGGTTTAATATGTTTAAATGTTTTAGTTTTTGAGATATTTAAAAATATTTTAATAAGCATGCTGTAATAAAAAAGTTTGTACCAAAAACACCCGGTACATTACTTTAGTAGAGTTAATTCTTGTGCTGACTTTGAAGCCAGAGAAATAAACTTTATAAAAAAAGTATTGCTTCCTGAAATGTATACAGGGGTATCAAAAATTGCTGGTCTATTTTAAATATTTATTTTACCTAAAAACTTCGTTATTTCATATATAACAGTATGCATTTTTTTAAAATAAGTCGAAGCAGATTTGAACGCTCTTGTAAGTTATATTAGAGTTTCCTATACCTATCTGGCTCAGATTTTGAATAAAAAGCGATTTTTCAATAAAATGGCAGTCAAGATGGCTGGTGTCGCCATGGCAATTTCCTAGTGACAGTTAGTAGTATTTTGACTCGCTTGATTAGCTTTGTCACGCATGCTCGGTACCAACTTAGCGTCTATATAAACGTTCAATTTGTAGATTACTTTAGTTGTAATCGTCTGCCGATGATGCTAACATAGTCGACCTAAACGACGTCTAGTAAAAAAAGTAAAGTGTTTTTGTGTATTGTGGTGATTATAGTATAATGGTTGTTCACCACATACGACACGGAGTATTGTAGCTAAGCGATTAGATTTTTACAAATTGTAAGTTTTGGGTACGTTAAAGGACCTTTAGAGCTAAATTTGTATACAAAAAGAAACCTATTTAAATTTTTATAGAAGACTATACCATTAATTAAATATACCACCATTATTCCCGCCCAAATATTAATTAATTACATACTTAATTGTGTTAGTTAATAAATTATTCCAAATAAATGTGGAATATAATAATAAGTTATGAAAATAAACGTCTCTGTTATAAATAAGCATTCGTCAAAAAATGAAATAATATTTTTAAGGTGTTACTTTTTACCACACTGTCTAATACACATACAAAATTCAGTTATTTAGTATTTGGAGCAATTATTATTAATCAACGCAAACAGTCAATTGATGTAGTTTGAATACTGGAATCATATTAATTGGTCCTCTTTAACATATATTTAAACAGTTTCTTTTATTTTTTTCATGAAATAAACAAACTATATCGACAATATTAGTATCTGTACTCTTTAAAAATTTGTTACATCTTTAAAAACAATCTAAAATGTAAATATTCCATGGGTATATTGATAAATGAGGTCTAAATTATAAGAGAATGCATTTTCTACAAAAATTTGAAGAGATACTAGGTAAAAAATGGTATAATACAATTTGATAGACACTTAAATTGTGCATCTGATTCTCTGAAAATATACAGGGTGTTCCATTTAAATTAAACAAGTTGTTGCTGTTTAAAACAAGTAATTATTTAAAATAATTTTTTAGACACATTGTATAAGGTAGTATATTTTTATTATTGCAATGCAAAATTTAGTAAATAGAAATTCTTCAGTACAATATTTCGTTTTGAAAACTTAAACACGCCTTGAGAAGTGACGCATTAAAATTATTACTGTATTTTGACACAAACCTAAATATTTAAAAAACGGTAAGGTTTAAGTAGTATGATAAACCTTAATAAAATTTACCTTTATTTTAATCGTAGAAACTAAAAATGTAATAATATACAGGATGTTCCATTTAAAAAATACAACTTTGATATTTTTTATTTATTTGAGACACTCTGTATCTTGTAAACATATTTTTAAATTGTAGCTCTAATAGTCGTAGTAAATATATTGCCTGGAATTTGATATCTATAGGAAAAATACGACCACACGCAGATATATTCCTAATGAATCACATCATGGTGTTGAACATAAAATGGCTAGTTTAAATTTCTTAGTTCATAGATTACTTAGTTTCCCACTTTCCAACGAAAGATATGAAATAGAAAGAGATTACATTAGGAATGTAGCTGAGTGTAATAGATATTCTCCTTCACTAGTTGATAAATTAATTAGAAAACGTAGGTATAGGTTAATGATTTCTGAAAATTCGACTTTTCAAGTGGAGAAAGATACGTCTAAATATTTTTCGATACCGTTTGATAGAGAGTTAACCCGTGGTCTAAAAGGAATTTTTAAGAATGTCAATTATAAACTTGTGTATAGTGCTAATAATAAATTACAACAATTATTAGGTAATCCAAAGGATAAAACACCTCCACTGGAAAGGTCGGGTATTTATGAAATTTCTTATAAAGATTGTAATCAGAAATCTGTTAGGCAAACTGGAAGATTAATATTAACTAGATTTAAAGAACATTTAGCTCAGATAAGATATGATAGACCGGATAAATCTTGCGTTGCCGAATATATTGTTGATAAAGAACATTGTATAGATCTTAATAATTTAAAATTAATTAAACAAGTCTCAAATTACAGGCAATTAGATGCATATGAAAGCATCAGAATTAATAAATGTAAAGATAGTATGAACAGAGACAACGGTCCAATTCCTTCAAGTTCTTTGTTCCTACTCTCTAGTGGCGGAAATCTAACTGTTACGCTCAGTTGGCTCTGACTCGGTTGGCTAGTTTTTGCCACGCCCACTCGGTGCCCACTGGGCGAGTATATAAACGCTCAACTTGTAGATTGTACTTTAGTTTATAATCATCTGCTGATGATGCTAACATGGTTAGCGAAACGCGCGTCCAGTGTAAAAGAAAAAGTGTTTTGGTGTATTGTGGTGATTTATTGTTTTTATTTTGCTGTTTAACACCAAAGGTTCCAACCCTCAACAGTAATCTAATAGTCCTTCAACGAACCAAAAACTTAAAATTTGTAAAAATCTAATCGTTTAGCCACAATACTCCGTGTCGTATGTGGTGAACAACCCTGTATTTAATGTAAACTTTTTTACAAGCATTGTATAATAAAACTCGTTAAATATAAGATACGAAGAAATAGGTACAATATTTACCGGCCGGTGATGAGACAAACTCGACGAAAAGGTCCTGCGATGTCCCGATAATGGAATATGGAAATTTGCCCATGCCACAAAAGATTCCAATGACGGGACTGAACTCGTTCTTGCCGTCGTAAATTTTGATGTAGTCGTAGGGGCAGTTTTCTTGACCTGAAAAATACAATGCCGAATCGATACTCCACAGATAAAATGCACGTCATACATTCTTAAATTACGAGGTCTTGTTTATGTGCGTCATCACTATCTTTAACAACAAACTCTGATACCAATACCATCGAAAAGATACTAAATAAAAATGGCAGGCTTCTGTGCTAAATAAAAATATAACCGTAAAACACAGATGATGAAAATGGGAGTTTATTCAATGTCGTGTCTTTTACGGTTCTAAAAATACAATGCAAAATCGGTATTTGAAAGAAAATGTGCGTCACACATTCTTAAATTATGAGACCATGTTTTCGTGCATTACTAACTTTAATCTAGTCTGAGACCTAGATTATCGAATATATTTTCAATAAAAATTGAATATTTTGGTGTTAACTAAAATTACATTGATTATTATACAGAGTGATAAAAAATAGAGTATCTAACTTCGGTGGGTGATTCTACAGGTAAAAATAAATGTAATGTAAATAATATGCCCTAAATTCTTATTAATCCCAATTATTGAAGAAATTACAACCCTCGAAAGGTTAAATAATAGTTACTTTTTATACACGATAAAATGGTATTTTATCGCCGACCAAAAAGATTAATTCACGAGCGATGATGATCGCAAGTGAATTAATTTCGGGAGACGATAATGCAATTTTATCGTCGTGTATAAAACAATATATTTTTCCATAGCGAGTTACGTTTTAAAAAATATTCAGAAACTATTATTTCAAGGAATTTTTTACGAGTAGAAAAAATATTGTGTTGGATTAACGTTGGTTTCTGTGTAATTTGACAAATATATAAAGCTGTCTCTTTAGTTGTCAGTTTTGAGTCAATATTTTAGTATTGAAAATACTTCTGGCCGCGTTTATATGGGACCCGTCTTTGAAAAAACGACATGCTAGACGCGACACGGTACGGTCTGAGTTCAATAACCTGCCTAATCAACTTGTCAACACGTAAGTCGATAGTTTTTTTTAGCCGGCGCTGATCATCGAATAGAGCAAGGACGCTCGAGGGCCAAAATGAGGTTTTATCAGTGGGCCAACTATTTTATGGATTGGTTTGGTTTGGTTTGCATTAATAAAAATATAGGCCTAATCTAAATTTAATCTAAACTGACCCCATTTTTGCATATTTCGGGCTCCTACGTGTGTAGGAGCCCGTCATAGTGTCGTGACCATAGGCTTAAAATAAAATATAGACTGAGCATCTCATTCATAAATAGGTGGAACATGCGGTCAGACAATGTCTTGTTATTGTTGTGTTATTGTTTTAGGTTATAACGAGTGCGACACGAGCGATAGATAGGTTGTCTCTGTCGTAACGGTCGTTCCCTGACGACTCTGCCGAGAAACACAACACTCATTGTCTTTCGTTTCTCAAGTACACATGAACTCTCCGTATCATAGCCGGGTAATTTTTTTATTTTAATGAAGCTATATTTAAATTAAAAATATATCGTATTTAAACTTTTTCATATTTTATTAAGATTTAAGACAGGTTTTTTAAATAAAAGTTTAGAAAAAACGTCTTAGAGTCCAAAAAGGATAAAAATAATAAAATACACGTTATAGAAGAAATTTTATAATCGAAATTACGTAATTTTTGAAATTAATAATAAATTATTAATTTTAGTCAAACATTTACAACCCCTAATATTAATCAAAACAGGACCTATTCCACAGATATAATAGAGTCAGCGACAGGGAGAGAAAAAAAATGATTGTTGTAATTTTTTTTCTGGTTAAGTAATGTCTTATGTAAATTAGAGAAAACAAATCTGTTCCATTAAAGCAAGGAAGGTGATAAGAAGTGGATAAAATGAAAATACATTTATTTAACTCGGTACTGTCTTTATTATACCGGGTGCGTCCCAAAAGTGGCTCATCCCCATAATTTTTTTTATATTTTCTAATAAAAAAACAAGATTTTGTATGTTAGTATATGACATAAATTAGGATTGATTGACGCATTCAATTGTTTTTGGTCACTTCCTGTTTCACCGGAAATGACTATAACTTTTAATTTTTAAACGGCACCCTCGGTATATTTCTACTTTATTCGATAGAAAATGACACTCTGAATAGAATGACATATCATATGTCAACTTTTGACATTTTCGCCTATGGTATAATTGTAATTGTAACACGCGGTTCATAACGACAATTTGACTCGAAATACCAAGTGTGTGGTATCAATATATTCATAAAAAAATGCTTTTTTCAAATATGCTAGTCACCCTTGTTCCATTTGAAAAAATTGACATATGTATGATTAAAAATACGATTTGTACATCTTTTAACCGGCCTAGACAAGACACGAAACCCATTAGACGATCAAAACTATTTTTCCAAGGCTCCTTGATTAAAACTTAGTGTTTTTAACAACACCATGGCACCCTGGATTGAAATTTAAAATAGGATTTTTATTTAAGCGACAATGTCAAAAGTTGACATATGATATGTCATTCTATTCAGAGTATCATTTTTTATCGAATAAAGTAGCAATATACCGAGGGTGCCTTTAAAAATCAAAAGATGTAATAATTTCGGTGAAACAGGAAGAGACCAAAAACAATTGAATACGTCAATAAATCCTAATTTATGTCCTATACCTACTAACATACAAATCTGTTTTTTTTTATCTCAAAAAATAAAAAAGTTATATGGGTGAGCCACTTTTGAGACGACCCGGTATATTAAAAAATATTGTTTCATAATGTAATATCATTTTAAAATTCTTGTATGTTTACTGTTAAAATACTTGTATGTTGTTAATTATTAAGAGGGTTATAATTATGATTTTGTTACAATGTAAAAAAGTAAATAATGTAATGTAAGAGAAAAAATTCAGATTTTAAATTTTACTAAAATATTATCTAAATAAGCGCATTTCTACAACAACGCCACTGACTCCCAATGGGTAAATTGAGAGTTGCCTACCGGTCAAAAGTCGTTTCAAGACTTAAATGGATTATTTAAGTCAAATTTCTTGCAAATTTGGCACTGGTGAACCATGTTTTATAGTTCTTGAACAGAAAAAGCCAATAAAATAAACACTTAAGGACTACAAGCTAAGAAAATGCGTTAATACAGTCGGGGAGATAGCGGCAACAAAGCTTTACCGCACACGTGCGACGCGTACTACAAGGTAATAAATGAATGAATAGGCTCCCTCGCCTCTAATCGGCGTTGTCGTATTGTAAAAAACTTATCCTTTTTAAACACTATCCGACTTATAATTTAGTAGTATAAGGACTATTTAATACATCTATGGAATATTAAAACCTACTTTATTAAACTGTAATATTAATATCTCAATATATGTGTATAACAAGAAAAAAAATATTGATAATATTAAAGACGTGACAACATAGGCTGGATGAGGAAGGCTCGGTCGACTGTACCCAGAAGTAAACATGTGTACAAAAAATATTGTTTGTCCGCGTTGAGATGTAAATAGTGTAGTCTATATTTTATTTTAAGTCTATGGTCGTGACCGTAATCGTAACCATTCACGAATCCGCACACGTTCATCTCCATCATTAATATTTTCTTGACTAAATTCTTCACTTTTACAAAAAGTCATCACGATAAAAATCAAATATCAAAATTATTTAACGTTGCGAACGGTTCACTTGGTCAATATACGTATCTGGAATATATTTGTAAATCGCGATTAGCGATACGTTTACGTTAGACTGCCGGAGTGCTGAAGTCACGAATGTCAAATTGCTTTCCAAACAAGGTTTAGTTCTTTTATATTTCTATTGGACTCTTCCAAATGACGTCACAAGTTAATATAAAATGTAAAAAAAACAGGTGATTACCGTCAACCGCCGACTTGTGTCTGGTATTTTCAATACGCCTATGATGGTTGCGCATGTTGCAATATCTGTGACTTTTTTAATGTCTCTTTCATGTCGATTGGAAATGGCTCAAAACGAAATAAGTAAATTACCAACAGATATTCAGGGTGAGGCGACAAACGCCATATCCAAACTACTTCCATTTAAATCCCAAATAACTTATGAAAAGGAATACAAAAATTTTCAAAAATGGAAGCAATTAAAAAACGTGCGAGAAAGAAATAAAGTTTTTAACCTATCCTCTCTGTTAACGTATCATTTAATCTACCCTTGCGGATAAAGTACTATTTTATCTACTATTTTTGATAGATATAAGGCAATTTTAACAGTTGCTATAAAAAAAATAAATTGATATTTGAAAGAACAAAAGTGTCCATTCAGTAATAATTTTATTTTAATATGACTTTTATTATTTAATTCCTTCATTACTGGATTTTTTTTTAATTAAAAACCGAATATCAAACTAAGATTGCAAGCGAGATAGAATTTTTCTTTAACGAATTCTAAAATAGTTCTTTTCGTTCTCGACAAAACATCAGCAAGATGAGGCTCCTTTATTATGCATAAACTATGTTGCAAGTTAGATTCCATAACGCTAGAACAACGTATAAAACACGCGGCAACATAACTTCATAATAAGGCCAACTATACCGCACGCCCGTATTTAATGTTATGTAAACTTTCTAAATAAGTCAATGTTTTCATTGTTTGGAAAATAATGTGTTTTGCTAGCCGGCTTGCATAGGTTTTTGGTTCTATTGTTTCTATTTTGCAAAATAGTAACGGCTCTATTAACCCTCAACTGGCGTGGTGGGGTCCAGCGGACCCCAACCACTTTTTAAACCTCTGTAAAATGTTTACGTTTACCCCAGTGCACTTATGACATTCGCCATGTTGAAATTGCAAAAATGTTTAGAAAGCTGCGACCATTGAAAATAGTTAGCCTTAGTAACCCTTATTAACATATTAAAAGTCCCCATTTGTCCGATGTGTGCGTCATCAAAAAAAATCGGCCGCCATCTTGAATTTTGGTACTTTTTGGGAAAAAATGTAAATAACTCGAAAACGATTTGTTACAGCGAAAAACTTCAAGAGGTAAAAATTAAAGAGAATAAAAAACTCT